GCCAAAAATAGAGAATACAGTTCTTCCCTGTGACCTAGAAGGTGAGATGCAAGATGGAAGGACAGAAAATGTAAATATGTAAACTGAAAATCCAAGTCAAGGATCTATCAGGAATCTTTATTATATTAGAAAAAAAATACAGAAAGTTCTAGTGAGGTGAGCTAGATCACATTTGGAAAGTTACATAGTGTTTCCCATGATTACAAATATCTTGCCACCACCAAGAAAGAAAGAAAGAAATTAACAAATGAATAAACAAATAAATAAATCCAACACACATACCATTTTCTCTGTAATGTAGAGAGTTTATTGATGAAGTCTTAGGGTATAAGCTGTTGTTTATGTCAATATTCTTCCAATATTACTGTATGGTCACGAATCATGGAATATGATTTCTGAAGAAATAACCTTATAGATGACCCAAGAAATGTTGGAAAAGTGCTTGATAGATCTAAGTAGGCTGTACCATGATATTAATAACAACATATGAATGTGAAATGACATATAAGGCATCAAGTATGTGTAATCGAAAAATCAATTGGCCTAGCTTTTTGTTTGAGACAAAAGATGCCTCCCCACCTCCAAATAATACACTAGTGTCTCCAAGATACTAAAAAAACCATCAGAATGGTTCCAGTCAGTTGGGAGCTTTATCTTTGGAAGATTTATGGGAAAATGTAGACAAGAATTTCATGGATGAGATGTCTATGATCTTCATTGGTAGAAAGAGTATCACACAGTAAATTCAATTACAACTTCAACAAAGTATATAAATATATATATATATATACATATATATAATAAACATGGGTAATACACTGTATCATTGTAATATGCGTGTGTTTCACTTCAAAGATGAAAAACAATGGTTAAAATTTTTGAATTTTTAGATCTATCAGTAGTTCCTTCAGACATTTTCATATTTTTAACATTTTCCTTCTTTTGTATTCAGGATACTTTGAAATAAATTCAACATCTGTCTCAGAAAATAAAGCCAGAAGGATGATTTTTGAAGGTAGCTGTGCTTTTCCACTTAAAACTTCAAAGTAGACAGAATCCCCTGCCTCATGAGCTCTCTGAGTGCAGCTGAGAATGTCACACATTTGATGAAACATATGGATTTACTTATTGTTTAAAAATGTCTTCCTCTAACTCCTCTGGGATCCTGGTCTCAAATGAAATGATTTGAGCTAGGGACAAAATAAAGTATTTGTAAGGCACAACATAAAATACAAGTAGCCTCAAAAGGAGAGAAAATAAAATTTGGCAACATATTTTGAAATGTTGAAAAGTTTGTTTTGACAAAACTTATCACTAATGTAAAAATATTTAATTGCTTTGTTCCCCCTTCCACTCCAGTTAGGAAAACTTGAACAATGCAATACTAGAACTTGAAAGAACTTTGAGATTTTATCTAGAACAACCTCATTATAAAAGTGAGGAAGTTGAGGTCCATAAAAAGGAAATAACCTGTCCAAGGTCGTATTGTTAATAATAACATATCTGAGAAAAGAATCCAAATCTTCTAACTCCTACTCCAGGGCACTGGGTCTTTCTTAGAGGAAAAGAAATGCTGATTAAATGGGAAGAGTAAGGAGACTGTATCTATGATACAATATCAAGAATCAAAAGTCATTTTTACTTAAAACAATGAAATTTTTTTTGGTTCTTTATATAAAGACCAGCTATTCTTCATTATGGCAACTATAACTTTCAGAAAAATATATATGGAACCTTAAAGCTGCAAGGGAACTCATGAGTCATCCAGTCTAACCCATACCTGACACGAATCCCCTCTACAACATACCTAAGAATTGGTCATCCAGCCTCCATTTGAAAACTTCAAGTGAGGAAAAGCCTACCACCTCTTGAGGCGGTCCATTAATGCTTTTGAACAGCTCAGTGTTAGAAGGCTTTTCCTTACATTGACCTTAAATCTATTTCTCTGTAACTTCCACCTATCACCCTACTCCAAATCATGAAGGGTCAAGCAATACATATCTCTTACCTCTACTATGTAACAGACATCCAAATGTTTGAAGATAGCTATTATTTTGCCCCTCTTCTCACCTCTCCCAAGCCTTCTCTTCTTCAGGCTAAACACTTCCAGATCTTTCAAGTGATACTTATATGGTCCAATTTTAAGTACTTTCACCATTCTTCTAATCCTTCTTTGGACATATTCCAGCTTATTTAGTTGTCTTTCAAATCACATGCTATTCAGACCTGGACACATATTGCAGGCATAGTATGACCAGGACAGAAATAATAGGTCACCCATCCTCCTTGTTCTACCAGAGGATAAGGCACCCATGAGCTCCTATTACTAGTCGTCTTTAGATGGATGCCATTCATTTCTCCAATTAAACTCGTATATCTCACCCCCTCCCAAAAAAAAGAGAAAGCATACTGCATCTAATAGGAGCTCAATAAATGTTTGTTAGTCAATAACTTGAGAAGGGTCATTGTAGGATGGAGTGAGAGGTAACCACATATCTCAGATAACAAAAACAAAGACATGAAGAGGAACCTGAGAGAACACTTGGTCTCTTCCTGTTCCCAGTGTCAACAATAACATTATGGACAAAACAAGGGAAGGGAAGCCTTTCTCTACCATATTCGCAATGCACCTGAAGGTTAAGGTCATAGTAATATAGGAAAGAATTTGATAATAGAAGTGGCAGATCTAAGTGTACTGTTTACACGTTTTTAATTATTCAATAAGCATTTTTTAAGTACTTACTATGTCCCAGGTATTGTGCTGAGCCCTGAGGATACAAAGAAGGAGTCCACATTCTAATGGTGGAGACAATGTGCAAATAACAACACAGAGAGTAATTGGGTTAATCTTAGATTGAAAGAACCGGCAATGCTGTTTGTATGGTGTTTGTACGGGTAGACAGGGTTTGCGAGAAAAACTTTTTGTAGAATTTGGAATTTGAGCTGGATCTCGAAGAAAATAGGGTAAGTCAGGAGGCAGCAGTAAGGAATGAGAGCATTCTAGGCATGGGGACTGCTGGTATGGAGTTGGGAAAGAGAGTATCCTTTGTGCAAGGAATTTAAAGTATGGAAGTGTACGTGGATCACAAAGTGCATGGAGGACGGTGGGGGGAGAAAATTGTAAGAAGACTGGGACAGTATGAAGGGGTAACATTGTGAGGAACTTTAAATGTGAAATAGAAGCAATTGCATTTGGCAAGATAACAGCTTGCAATTAAAAAAAAGCATTGGACTAGGGAGACTTGGTTTTGAGTCTTGGCTATACCAGTCATCCGCTATTAGAGGTGGAAAGAACCTTAATAGGTCATTAATTTCCACTCTATCATTTTTTCAGATGATTAAACTGAAGCCCAGGGATGGGAGGTAGTAGCCCCAAATCAGCACAGCTAGTGTATGACAGAGCTGGGACTTGAACCTAGCTCTTTTGATTCCAAGTCCAAAGTTATTTCCTCTACATCATCCTTCCTTAGGCAATTTATATGAACTTCAGTATTTTCATCTGTAAAATGGATATAATAACACTTGCACTTCCCACTTCAAAGTGTTATAATGTTTCTCATACACAAAATAAGTAGAGGGTAGAAGGGTTTGGAAATCTGGAACTCTTTGTTCATCTGAAAATAAAAGGTTTGAATGCAATGGCCTCAAAGGCAATTCTAAATCTACTATTCTATAATTCTTGCAGCTCCAAATACACTTTTCTTGAATGACAGTATTTATTTTAAAACTTCATCTTTTCCAAGTATTCTTTGGATTTCAAAACCTGATTCAATTTGAAGCCCATTTTCCGTCTTTTAGGCTCATAAATTTCCACTTCAGTTTAAATATGGCATTAAATATTTAAAGACTGCATCAATAACATACCATGAACTGGAAAAAGCTTTTCTTAGCAAAGCTTATATTTATCTGAAACTCACAAACAAGAACATATTTATTTGGTTATCTTGATAATAAAAATGCATTAAAAGTTTAATTGTTCTTATATGCTATCATCTTAAGCTTGTCAAAATGTTTAAAGTAAACAAAGCAAGGAATATAATTAGGCAAAATACCCTCTTGCCATGCATCAACTGTTTCAAAGGAAATATGATTTCAACTAATGAACATCAAATAGAAATACACACACTTTAAAATACAGAGGGAAAATCCGTGAAAATCCCTGGATTTAGAGTCAATGGATCTGGGATTAAATTTTGCCTCTACCACTTACTGATTGCATGATCTTGAATAAATTATTTAACTTCTCTGAGCCTCAATTCCTCATCTGAAAAAAGAAGAAATTGGACCAGGTGACCTCCCCAAAGTTCCTTCCAGTTTTAATTGTATGACCCTATTTCCCAAGTTGATAGGTAAGTAGATAGACATATGTGTGTATGTATGTATGTATGTATGTATACACACATATACATATATCTGTGTACATCCATTTGTATGCATGTGTGCTCACACAAAAATATGGTTTTATATATACATATATGCATATATATATATATATACATACATACACACATGTATTATAGAGAGAAAGAGAAGTCTAGTGCATAGAGTGTTGGCTCCAAGGAGCGAGTAATACTTGGGTTTCAGTTCCATCTCTGAACCTTAGGCAACACTCAGAAGTATAATTTAGAGATACACTATCATCTGCATTGGGGGAAGGGAGTTTCAACACTGATTATATTATGGATCCTTGAAGTACTGAATATTCTTATAAGTGAGAATAATAATAATTTTGTTGTTTAGTTGTTTCAGTCATGTACAGTTCTTTGTGCCCCCATTTTGAGGTTTTCTTGGGTTTTCTTTCAGTATCTTTATACTGAAGTGGTTTGTCATTTCCTTCTCCAGTTCATTTTACAGATGAGGAAATGAAGGCAAACAGTGTTAAGCAACTGACATAAAATTATAAAACACTCAAGTTGTAGAATTCCTGAAAAATAACATTTGTCAAGTAACTCTGTTTACAAGATGAATTAAATCCATACTACAATGACAGACAACCAATATTTCATTAAGCTTGAATTTTAATTAATTTATCAGAATCACTACATGGGGGGAACATATGAACATCCACATAAACAAAGTGCTAAAACAATTGAGTTTAATATTCCAAGTTCAGTGCAAGAGGTTATGTTTTCAGTGCCATACTGTTGTTTTTTTGTTTTGTTTTGTTTTGTTTCATTTTGTTTTGTTTTGGTAGGGGGAGATCATGACTCAATAACATGATTGGAAGGAAATCTATAAAAGTCAACTATTCGTGATTCATCAAATATTTCTTAAGCTTCTGTTATGTGCATAGTATTGTTTTATGACTTGCAGAATCCTTCTGATCAAGGAAATTAAAATCTACAATAGTTAGACACAAGACCTAGAAAAAGTTATAAAGCCACAACATTTAAATAGCTTATATTATCACAGGATTTAGTGCAAGAAAAGACTTCTGCAATTTCTAGTCCAACCCCCTCATTTAAAGATTAACAAAAAACAAAATAAAACAAAAACAAGCTGAGGCCCTATAGATATAAAATGACTTACTTAGGGTCATATATGTAGTAACATGCAGAGCAGGGACTTAAGTCCAAGTCTTCTGATTTCAGATCCAGGGACTTTCAGTGTCAGAATACACAATTAAGGATCAGTGAGACATGGACAATAACGGCCATGGGTTCAAAGATGAATCCAGGGGAGATTTGCTAGAAGAGATGGTGCTTGAGCTGAGCCATAATGGATGGGTTAGAAAGGTAGAATGTGGCATTGGGAGGTGGGAGAGATTGGCATCTCAGGCAATGGGCCTGGCATGGGCAGAGGCAAAAATGAAGATGACACAAATGCTCAACAAATAGTAATGGGCAAGTGTAGAGCAGACTGCTCATGTTTGGGAGTAAAAGGAGGGACATGTATCCCAGGCTCAGAACTTGTACTTTGTTCTGAAGACACCTGGGAGATATTGAAGGGTTTTGTGCAATTGTTAAAACGCTAACGTTCACTTCTCAGAGCATTCTGCTTTCAATCTTACCTTGCCAATTTTAAAATACAAGTCCAGGGCCAGCCAAGAGGTTCCAAAATTCAGCTACAAGGAGAAATATGTCCTTTGCTGTTTTCTCCCATATATAATCTGGTGCCTTACCCAGTCAGGAGTCCTAAGCCTGCCAGGCAAGGAAGTCACTCTTGATAGGAGATGGCACTAGATAGAGGGAGCCACCCACAGGAGAGGCATCCAGTTGAAGAAATAGTCATCTTCATAGGCATATCCAAAGCATGAGGGCAAGCTGAATATAATTATGCTGTCAGTGAAACCAAAAAACTCACAGGGCTGCTGCTACATGCCTGCTATCTCCCTGAAAAAGCAATAAGATTCAAAGGGATGCTAAAGGTGATAGAGGAGTGAGGTAATAAGTATTTGGGAAGACATGCAAGGTCATACAGACCTACTGTTCCAGAATTTGTTTTTAATAAAGAAGGTGGGAAAATAGTTCTAGGATTGTTTGGAGTTTGAAGTTAGTTTGTTCTAGGAATTTTTTTTTTTAAATAATGATAGGAAAGTACTTCCTTGATTGACTCACAGTTGGAGAATATCACATCATGACATCATGGAAGAGAATATCTGGATAAAAGGTAGGCTATAATGCAAGCATTATTGAGAGGGAATGTTTTGGAATATATGTGTGCAGGTGCATATATGTATGCATGTATATGTACACATATACACATACATATATATTTTGTGTACACTTACATAAAACAGGATCACAGGATATAGAGTTAGAAGGCAACTTAGAGGACAGAGTGGTGAAAACAATTTGTTTATGGTCTCAATTAGTAGGTAGCAGAGTCAGAATCTTTACCTAGGTTCTGAGACTTCAAATGCAAAGCTCTTGTCATTTTACCTTGTGCCTGCCATACAGATGATAGGATCACAAGTCTAAAGCTTGAATGGACTTTTGAGGTTGAGTTCCAACCTCTCATTCTATAAATACAGAAACTGAGGCCCAAGGTGGTTAAGTGACTTGTCCAGAGTCCCACAGATAGTAAGCATCAGAGGTAGGATTTGAACCCAGGTCTTCTAGCCTCATGGCCATGTGTGTGCAATGCATATTAAGTTCCTTCTTTTCCTCTCACAGCAAATATCTAACATGGATCTAGAAAAATAGTGGGATACATTCTGGGTTGAGGTTTATTAATGTATAATTAGGTAAAAATCTGTCACCTCCCAGGAGTGACTACAATGAGGTACAATTCTTCTTGATTACATCTAAAACAGTCTGGATGACTTCTTCCCTGTCTGGGTTGGCATCCACAATGTGACATCCAGGATTCTCCATCCTCTGATAGGCTATTTCCACCCTGAAAAGCAGAATGGGGAAAAGTGGGTAATCTGGACAAGACTAAATAGGGGTCATTTTGACCAAGAACTAGAAACCACACAATTCTGGACTGCATTAGTTCTGTCTCACTTGTACATCACTCCCTATATCAGCTTACTGCAATAATCCATCTATTTCAGAGATCCAAAATTTGATGACCACATTGTCCTTTCTGCCAATGCAGGTCATGATTGCTACACACTTTAACACTAAAGGTTTATGAGATTTACGTGTGTGTATACATGTGTGTGTGCGTATACACATATGTAAATATACATACATATATGTATATATACGTACACACATGTGTATGCATATGTGTACACATTGATGTGTGTACACATATGCATATCCATAGCTGTATATTTATACATAAATGTTGTTCTGTCATTTTTTCAGTCATGTATGACTCTTCATGACTCCATTTAGAGTTTTCTTGGCAAAGATACTGGAATGATTTGCCATTTCCTTTCATTTTACATATGAAGAAATGAAGCAAACAGGGTTAAGTGACTTGCCCAGGGTTACACAGCTAGTGTCTGAGGCCAGATCTGAACTCAGGAAGATGAATCTTCTGATTCCAGGTCTGATACTCTATCCACTGAGCCATCTAGCTGCCCTATGTATACATATAAATACGTGTATATACCCATACAAACACACACACAGAGTTTTCCGCTTATAAAGTACCTTACATACATTCTCTCATTTGAGAGTTAACAATGGCTCCAGAAGGTAATTACTACAGATTATTATTTACTCCACTGTGTGTATAAGGTAACTGTGATCTCAGGTTATATGACTTACCAATGGCCAGACAACAAACGTCAAGATTCAAAGACAGGACTCCCTAACTTCAAGCGCAGTACATGATCCACAACACCTTGCTGTCCACTGTGATTTGCATGGTTGAAAAATGTCATCACTTAGTGGCAAATTTTCTGGTAATGAACCTCTACAAACTTAGTTACTCAGGTTATAATTAAGATTAAGAGATGAGTGTTTGTTGGGGGTTGGAGAGGGCAAGAAGGGGATATTCTTTAAGACTCTGAAAGTAGAAAGGTGCATGCTCCTACAGTATAACTTTTGAGTGCCCCTTATCATCTCCATACCAGGATGGGGTATTGGTCAGACTTTATTGACACCTTTGCATTTTAATTGGCTTGTGTTGACAGACTAACCACCTTTAATTCTTAATCATGTATCTTCATGATAGACAGCAAGAAACTGAATGAATAAAACTCACACATTATTAAAAAAAAAGCCTCACTGTAGCCATTACTTTGACTTCCCTATTTTAAGACAAATTTTACCAAAAGTAATAAGAAAAGTTCCAACCCTTCGTCTCTAACTGTCCCCACTTAACTGTCCCATAGGTACCTAAAAATCAACCAAAACAAAATTCATTATACTTCTCCCTAAATCCAACTTGCCTCCTAATTGTCTTACTTCTGTTGAGAGTACCATTATTCTTCCAGTCATACAGGTTTGAAAACTAGGTGCTATTAGCTTCTCCATTGGATTGTGAACTTCTTGAATACAGGGCTGGCCTTTTGCCTTTTTTTGTATCCCTAAAGCTTAGCACAGTGCCTGGCACATAGTAAGTGCTTATTAAATGTTGATTGATTGATCCTTGATTCTTCACACTCACCCTCTATATGCAATCATTTATCTCATCTTAAATCTCCTGCCATAGTAGTTCACATTCATACTATTCCCTCATCTCATCTTATACACTCTATATCAAACTTTCATCGCCTCCTTATTCCAGAATACAATGGCTCTCTCCTAACTGTGCAGCTTCTCCCTTTCCAATCCACATTCCCTATAATGCATATATCTATATTCCTAAAGTATAGGTTTGACCTCATCATTTTCCTTCTATTATCCTATTGCCCCTAGGATAAAATACTAATTCCTTTACCTGGCATTTAAAGCCCTTCATGATCTGGCTCCAACCTGTCTTTCAAGGATAACAACACATTATTCTCCACGTTCCAACAAAAGCTAGTCCTGCCTACTCTTCCACTTCATCCGTGTTCACAGGAGATTAGGGGAGAACAGATACAATAGAACTTCCTCATAGACAATTTTCCACAATCCCCTGTAGGGCGCAGGCAACAATATCTGGTTCTAGTCACATGGTAACAATATATAAATCCTGGAATACTGAAGCTAGAACAGCTTCAGTAATCATCATTCTTGTTTTCCTTCCTCGTTGTCTTGTCCCTGTTCACAGGATAATAGGATTTAGAGATAGAAGAAAATTTAAAGAACCCTTAAGTTCAATCCCTTATTTTACAGTTGTAGAAATATTTAAGGCATTATGGTGCAGTGGAAAGTGTACTGGATTTGGAGTCAGTTCTGGGTGTGAATTCCAGTTCTGCTACATACCGATTCTGTGATCTTAGAAAAATCATTCAATTTCTCTAGGCTTAATTTTCCTCATGTATAAAATGAAGGGGTTGGACTACAGGGACTAGAATCCTACTCTAAACTCGTGTGTCTAAGTAACTGAGGATATACAGACAGTTTAAGCAATTTGCCCAAATCCAAATTCCTGTGACTCTTCAATTCCCTAGTTCTTACCTATGAATGAAAAAGCACTGAATGAAAAGGATGTGCCAGGAACTGAGCAAAGCTCTAAAGATAAAGATACAAAAAGAAAAGCCATTCCTGCCATCAAGGAGTTTATATTCTGAAAAAGGTAAGATGACGCATATTTTAGAGTGGTGGCCAAAAAAGGATATTTTAAACTGGGAAGTCACGAGAATGGTTAGGGGAACCATAGGACATCTGATTGACATAACCTTTCTAGGTGGTGCAGTGAATAATGTTGGACATGGAGTCAGCAAGACCTGAGTTTAAATACAACCTCAGACATTACACTAGCTGCGTGACTCTGAGCAAGTAGCTAAGCCTCTGTTTACCTCAGTTTCCTCATCTGCATTCCAGAAAAACTCTACTAGTAGCTATTTCCTATTTCCAAGGGATGTTGTGAAGATCATTTGAGATATTTGTAGAGCCCTTTTAAATAACTCTTAAGGAATTGGAGTGGGATTTTAATTAGCGTTCCCAAAATTAGAGATAAAGGGTGACTGCAGTGGAGGGGGAGCAAGAAAAGGCAAGATGCAGAAAGAGAATGTGGGCCAAGTTGAAAAGCATCATCATGGAGGATCTTGATTGGGCTAGTTATGCAGAACTCTCAGGGACCCAGGGCAGGATCTGGGGACTTCGGTAGGAGGCAGGGAAAATGGCATGAAGATAACTGGAGACTTGGGCTTCAGAATACTCTTGCACTTAATTGTCTCTTTCTTGCACTCCAAGTCTGGTTTTGTGCTGCCCCCTCCTCTCCATATCTCAGCTGAATTCTAGTACATCTACTTTCCTCAAGAATAAACCACAAATTTGTTTCCTCTTTCTGGTGGCTTTTCCTATTGGTTCTAATTCTTACTTACAACATGACAAATGTGAAAATATGTTTAATAGGATTGTATATGGATAGCCTATATCAGATTGCATGCCATCTTGGGGAGGGAGGTGAGGAGGGAAGGGGAGAAAAAAATTAAAATTCAAAAGCTTATGGAAGTGACTGTTGATCATCTGAAATAAACTAATGTAAAAAATAATAAAACACAAAGACCTTGACCTCAACTTTAAAGTTGTCCATGATCGAGCTCCAGCTCACCTTTGCAGATTTATTTCAAATGACCCCACTGTATGCAATGTGCATTCCACACACACTATAATGGTAGCTATTTTCTGGATTCCCCATTCAATCTCTCACCTCAGTGCTTTTATAAAAGCCCCCATTCTCGAATGTCTTTTCCCTCCTCTGTTGCTCTTCCCAGAATCTTTCTATACAGTAATCAGCTCAAGTATCTCAACCTCCTTGAAACCCTCCTTCTCCCTTCCATCCATTAGTTCTCCCTCCCTCACCAAATTACAATGTATTTACTTATTTGGGAATGTTGCAAGCCCCCAAGTGTAATTTTCATGAGGGCAGTGACTGTTTCATTCTCTTCATTCACAGTGCTTAGCCCAGTACCTGGCTGATAGTAGATTCAGCTAGGTGGTACAGTAAATAGGATGATGGGCCTGGAATCAAGAAGACTTGAGTTCAAATTTGACCTCAGACACTTACTGGCTGTGTGATCTTGGGTGAGTCACTTAACCTATGCCTGTCTCAGCTTCCTTATCTGTAAAACAGAAATAATTTAAAACAACCTATCTCCCAAGATTGTGAGGATCAAGTGAAATAATACTGGTAAAGTGCTTTAAGGTAAACCGTAAAATGTTTTGTAAATTATTATTATTATGTGCTTAATAAAGATTTGTTGAAGCAAATTGTGCTAAAGTCACTTGACTCTTGTAATACTTGGATTCCTCATTTCATATCTCCCCCTTCCTCTGCCTTTTGAGTTACCTAGCTTTTCTAACCCACTGGCATCACTTTATCCTGGTGAGTAAAACTGCCAGGGACTCCTAACCTTGGAGGGAATAGATTTCTCCTATTCCTGGTTCCCAGTCTCAATTAGTTATGCCATGAAACTAGGACATACTTTTCACGAAACAACTTGTTGATCTCCAGCTCAGTTTCTTCCTTCGTTTTATGCATCCCACGGCCCTGAATCCGCTGTATCCTTGCCTCAGGATTCACAGTTAGCAGCAGTACAATATCAGGTTTGAGCAAGTCCTTGGGCCACTGATACACTGGGTGATGAACTGGAGGTAGGTAGTGGGGAAGGCCACTTATCTCAGTGGCGATTGCATAAGCAGCTGTGCTGTGCCAGTACCTGGACGGATACAGGAAGTAGTGAGTTCTCTGTTACATGAAATATTTAAGCAGCAAAGGCTAAATGATTCTCTGTGGAGAGTGTTAGAAGCACTGGACCTGGGGTGAAATACTGGACTAGATGGGAAGCTGGACTAGATTACTTCCAATGTCAGCATTATCAATAGGAAAGGAAGAGGAAACCTGGGTTCAAATCCCAACTCTGATACTTATGAGCAAGATGAGCCTAGGCTACCATAGGATCAAAGAATTATAGTTAGAAGACACTTTAGAGATCACCACATGGTCTCCATCCTTCACTTTACTGATGAAGAAACTAAGGCCAACATAGATTATGACATATCCAAGTTCATTCAAGCAGTAAAGTAGCAAAACTAAGGTATTAACCTGAGTCTTTCCCCCCACCCCACGACAAGGTGTCCAATAACATATGCAAAGCCTTCTGCAATCATAAAGTACTTAACACAAGTTATGATGACACATTTAGAGCACTTTAATGTTTAGAGAGTATTTTACATAGATTATCTATGATGATGATGATGATGATGATGATATAGCATGTGGTAGGTGCTTGATAAGCATTTGCTGAAGGAGATTTTAAGTCACCTGGAACAGGTACTATTAATGCCTGATTTTAATAAATTTTCATTTTGCAGGAACTGTTGGTTTAAAAACTGACATTTTTCAGTTGTGCATCTTAACCACTTGTATGTGCAAGATTAATTTTGTCTCCCTTGTTTTTCAGCTGGGTCATGGTGTCCTCCTCAATTTTGGAAGAACAAAATGGATTTCATTAGACTCTCTGAATATGAACTCAAACTGCATAGACAACAATAGTAAGTGCTTCATCTTTTTATTTAACAAAATGACATTTTTATCTCTTTAAAGAACTAAATTATCAGTAAGTCAGGAGTCCAAAAGAGAAATCTGAACAGATTACTGAGTAGAAAAACTTGGGGACCCATGCTGCCCACAACACTTCCAGACATAGCCAGAACAGATTAAAATATAATTGGGAAATAGTTAATAAAATAAATAAAAACATATTTAAACATAGACAGCATTACATTTTAAAGAAAGTCAATATGTAGTCCACAAGGATCCTTATGTATATTAGTAGCCCAAATTTCTATAGAGTTTTATATCACTGATGTAGAAGGTGGGATTTTAGCTGGGACTTGAAGGAAACCAGGAGGCAGACATGGGTAAAGAGTATTCTAAGAATGGGAGACAGCCAATGAAAACATTTGGAGTAGGGAGATGGAGTCTCTTCTTTGAGCATCAGTCATAGTCACTGAATCACAAAGCACACAGAAGGTTGTAAGGTATAAGAGGACTGGAAAGGTGAAAGGGTTTCAGGTTATGAAGAAATTTGAATCCCAAACAAAGAATTTTCTATTTGATCCTGTAGGTAACAGAGTCACTTGAATTTCTTGAGTAGAAAGGTGACATGTTCAGAGCTAGACTTTAAGAAGCTTACTTTGGCAGCTGCTCTAAATCACTATTGATTAGAGAAACGGAAATCAAAACAACTCTGAGGTACCACATCACACCTATCAGATTGGCCAACATGACAAAACAAGTAAACGATAAATGTTGGAGAAGATGTGGGAAAATTGGAACACTAATGCATTGTTTGTGGAGTTGTGAAATGATCCAACCAGCAATTTGGAACTATGCCCAAAGGGCTATAAAAATGTGCATACTCCTTGACCCAGCAATAGCACTTCTAGGACTATAACCCAAAGGGATCATGAAAATGGGAAAAGAGCCCACATGTACAAAAAGTATTTATAGTAGCTCTTTTTGTGGTGGCAAAGAATTGGAAATTGAGGGGATACCCATCGATTGGGGAATGGCTGAACAACTTGTGGTATATGAATGTAATGAAATACTATTATGCTATAAGAAATGATGAGCAGGTGGACTTCAGAAAAACCTGGGAAGACTTGTATGGACTGATGCTGAGTGAAGTAAGCAGAACCAGGAGAACATTGTACATGGTAACAGCCACTTTTTGTGATGACTAAAGTTGATAGACTTAGCCCTTCTCAGCAATGCATGAATTTAAGACAACCCCAAAAGACTCACGATGGAAAATGCTGTGCACATACAGAGAAAGAACTATGAAGTCTGAATGCATACTATTTGCTCTTTCTTTTTCTTCTGTTGTGTTTTGTTTCCTCTTTCTTGTGGTTCCTTCTATTGGTTCTAATTTTTCCTTACAACACGACTAATGTGAAAATATGTTTAATAGGAATGTATATGTATAGCCTATATCGTATTGCACACTGACTTAGGGAGGGAGATGAATTGTTGAATTGAAGTGATTGCTGATAAATCAAAATAAATGAATAAAAAAATAAAGAAATGTAGGAGGAGAACCAGGAGAGAGTGGAGTCATAAAAACCTGGAAAGAAGAGAATATCAAAGAGAAGAGGGTAATAGTTTCAAAGGCTGCAAAGCAGTCAAGAAGGATGTAGCTTGAGAAAAGGCCATTAGATTTGTCGATTGAGAGAACATTAGAAACTTTGGAGAGAGCAGTTGCAACCTCAGCTAAAGTCCCATCTTCTTCAAGAAGCTTCTCAGCCTTCCTTCATTTTAGTGCCTTCCTTCTGAGATTACCCCTGTCTCTAATTTATCTTGAATATATCTTGTTTGTATGCAACTATTTGTATTTTGTCTCCCTCATTAGACTAAAAACTTTTTGAGAGCAGGGATTATATTTTTCTTTTCTTTGACTCCCCCAGTATATAGAAGACACTTAATAAATGTTAGTTGACTGCATTGACCATAAATGGCAAAGATCTGCAGCAATAATGTAATCTATATAAACCAGCTAACTGGAAAACTCTGGGGAATTGAGAATAGTGTAACAAATCCTAAAGCCTAATGATGCCTCATTCTTTTCTCAATCTCAGTCCCTTTTAGAAAAAGTAAAGGTTTTTATTGCTTGGGGCCTACTCTGATTAAGTGTCTCCCTGAACAACAAATTCTACATTACAACAAGAATATGGGTTATTAAAAGTTTATACCATTAACCCTTAGAGTGTAAAAGCAGCTAGATAGAACAATGCAAACAGCAACTGGACCCAGAGTCAGAAAGATCTGATTTCGAATCCAGCCTCATTTGTTTACTAGCTATGTGACCCTGGGTGAGTTGCTCAAGCTCATTTCGTCTTAGTTACCTCATCTGTAAAATGAAGATAACAATAGCATGTATGTCACAGGGTTGTTGTGAGGATCAGGAAAGATAACATTTACAAAGTGCTCTGTAAACCTTAAAGCCCTATCTAAATGCTAGTTGTGATAATATTATTATTTTGTATGGTGCTAAGAAGGACTTGAATTTAGGGGTCTGGAGATTGAATCTTAGTTCTGACACTTAGGAACTGCGAACAAGAATGAGAGATCATTTCATTTCACTGCAAACTTCAGTTTCCTTTATCTGTATAAGGGGGGTAATAATTCATAGACTGAGAGTAGGAAGGGACCTCAGAAGTCACTTAGTCAAAATCTCCCAATACTACTGGCTACTCCTTGCACTCCTTATACGTCACTGGGTTATTGAGTGGAGAGGGATTTATAAACCTTAAACTTTTATGCACATGTAAATTGTATTTTTATTTCATTAAAATACTGCCCATAAACAAAAATTCATAAAAATAAAGAAGATATATGATGTAAATATATCTTTATACCTACCTGTCTATAATCACAGGAGCTTGGGTAGATGATTTAGCTATTTCAGATGCAACGATATAGTTTCCCAAAGAATAATATGCCCGCCTGATGATTGTTGGCTCATTATCAAATATTTTCCTCCACTGGCTGACACAGGGTGGAGGTGACTTTAAGAAGATAGCATTCAGTGCTTTCGCAACTTCGTGGGTCACTGTAGTTTTGCCTGTATTTCATACACAAGAAAAAAGAATGTCTTATTCACTAGGATCAGGCAAAGCACAAAAACTAAGATGGACTATGTCATTTTTCATCCTTATATCCTCAGAGCCTACTTATGGTGCCTTGCACAGAATTACTTAATGAACACTTGCTGAATTGAAAAATGAACTCAAATTCCATAATTATTTTTGTAACTTATGAACAAAGAAATAATCTCTTACCAGTAGCATCCAAGCCCTCAATAACAATGACAGGGAACTTTCCTTTCTGGACATTCTTCTGGCATTTATCCACCAAACTGAGAATTTTTTGAGCTTCAGGAATTAAAGATGTACACTGTAACGACAATTTCCGTTCATGAATTCTTGAAACACCCTCCTTCCTTGAAACACCCCCATCAGACATATTTTAAATCTATTAGGACCATGTTGTTTAGACCCATGAAAACCAAGAATACACAGGTACTGATAAGCAGAATTGGCCCAACCATTCTGGAAAGCAAGAGGGAATTATACAAAGAAAGTACCTAAAATGCTCATGTTCTTGAACTCAGAGATTCCTTTACTAGGCATTTACTCCAAAGAGAACGATGGTACAAAAAAATCCCATATACACTACTAAAATATTTGTAGAAATTTTTTTCCAGAAGTAAAGAATTGTAAACAAAGCAGATACCCACAGATTGACAATGGCTAAACAAACTGAGGTACATGGACATTATAAAACATTTCAGTAAGAAATGGATATTATGAATAAAGAGCAGGATGGGAAGAGATATGAAATGATATGGAGTGGAAAAGACCTAAGAAAATAATATGCACAATGACAACAACAACATAACTGGAAAGAACAACAAAATGGTTGAAAATGAATGGTACAAAATCATAATAACTCTAAAGAAGAACTACAAGAAGAACCTCCCCTGACTTTTTTGCTCAAGTGGGAGAAACCATGGATCTGGAACACTGCTCTTTATTCATCATGTTCAATATATTTTGTTATGTTGACATTTTTCACTTTATTTCTATTTAAATGGATGGATGGATGTCTAGGATGGGGAGAAAGAAGGGATGTATTGGGAGACAGGAGAAATAAAAACAAAAGATATCAATAAAATCGGTTTTTAAAAGTCATACAAACCAATCAACACTTTCAAAACACTAATACTTCAAGGAAAGGATCCATACTTTATTCCATGTCCTTATATATATGTACAGTATATATGTATGTTAGTAGTCAATTTGGAGAGTTGTTCCAGCCAAACAAATTCATCACTCAGAGGGCAACCTTCCTGTGGTGAGTCTCTCAATTGCCTAAGTGTTCTCAGACAACAGATACAGGCCCATAAGCAGAAACACCAGCCTTCTCTCGGGCAGTCCCCTAAGAAAGTCTCCCTTTGGGTGTCAGGTTACCTCCCTACCTAGCATGCCTCTCTCACTCCTTAGGATCATAGATCTAGGTCTGAAAGGGCTCTCAGAGGCCGTCTAATCCACCCCCTTCATTTGAAAGACAGGAAAGCTGAGGCCCATAGAGGTTCAATGACTTGTCCCAGGTCCCATGCGCAGTAAGTAAAATTTGAACTCAGGTCTTGAATCTCAAAGTTCAGTCTTCTTAAGGTAGTAGTAGACAATAATTTAATGTGATAGTGAGAGTCCAACCTTTTTGTAACTCCTTCACTCAGATTCATTCCTCATCCTCTCCAACCTATTTATTGAGAAGTAAATTTCATAGATTAAAAATGACAGTTTTAGGGGCAGCTAGGTGGCTCAGTGGATACAGCACCGGCCCTGAAGTCAGGAGTTCCTGAGTTCAAATCCGGCCTCTGACCAAACACTTGACACTTACTAGCTGTGTGACCCTGGGCAGGTCACTTAACCCCAATTGCCTAAAAAAAAAAATGACAGTTTTACTCCATGGGCAATTCAATTCCTTCTTTTGGGCCACAAGGTTCCCCACTCAACCAACCCCACAATCTAAATTGTCATGATACCCTTTAATAACCCTGGTTTGTACACACAGCTGCCCAGCATGGATCTACTCCAAGACTTCCTTCTTCCTTATCCAAATATGAACCATCTTATATTCCTCCCATCCAGTTTCATTCCTTTAGCAAAGCAGACAAACCCTGCTCCCATTGATAATGCACACATTTCATTATTTTTTCCACTTCCTTCTGAGTCTCACTCTCTAAGGCAAGGGTTCTTAACTTTTTTGTGTGTCATGGACCCTTTGGCTGTCTGAGGAAGCCAGTGAACCCCTTTTCAGAATAATGTTTTTAAATGATTGAAGGATATGTTAAATTTCAGTTAGATGTTAGGGTGTATAAGGATGTGATTTTTTTTCTCACCCAAATTCATGGACCCACTGAAATCTATCACTGAGCCAAGGTTAAATAAAAACCTCTGCTTATAAGAGAAAATTTTCTAGCAACAAGTCTTCAAAATCATAAAAGAAAATGGATACCAAGTACACATTCATTAACATGTTACATTATCCTCACACAATAAGGGGGGTAAAAGGAAGCTCGTAAGGGCAGAACTATCTCAAAGCTAGCATGAAAATATGCAAAATGTCATTTATTTGGTCCTCTAAAGATCTGCAAAATACTTTACATATTATATATTTATATATATTCTTTTGCTTTTACACTATATACATGCTTATTTGATCCTCTCAACTTCTCTGTAAGGTGGCTGTTGTTTGTGATGTCTTGAGTTGTTGATGAATTGGATTTAAGTGAGGCAGAGTTATACAAAGTCATCAGCCTCACTCCCTCTTCTGGAGTCATCAAAGTCCAGTCAGTGGCAAGACAGCAGTCAGGACTGGTGATGGCCAGGATACGGTGGATAACCTTGACATCTTCAATGTTTGACCAAGCTCTAAGTGTTCCACAGTGCCTGCTTCAGTGGCCTTCATTGTTCCTGGAACAAACTGTACTCATCTGCCCATTCCACTCGTGGCAAGTTTTTACATACTTGGGGTAGATATCCTTCTAACTCACTGACAAGTTTGAGGCCTATCAGTTACCCTCAACCTGGCTTAGCCCATCTGTTGAGGCAGTTTCACCAGGGTGTAACCATTACACTTAGACAGCTTCTTGGAGCCAAAGATGACTAGTTGGACTGCAAAGGTAAATGAGCAGTCCTAAAAAGGACTTGACAAGCCCTCACATCAGAGATGCCAGTTCTCTCATATCACCTCATACATCCTATGAGGTGGCTACTACAGTTATTATTACACCCATGAGAAGTTAAGTTTCAGCAAGGTTGTCACACAACTAATATGTATTAGACAGATAATAGTCAGATATAAAAATCAGACAAAGGTCTCTCGATTGCAAATGCAGCATTCTTTCCACTGCACCACAAGCTGAAGAGATTTCAGTTTGAATACTGGCTCTGACATTTGCTACCTGTGAGACTAAGGGAAAGACACTAAGCCTCAGATTCTTCCTGTAAAACAGTAATAAGTTTTGAGGAAAGCCCTTTGTCAACTTTTAGGCATCACAGAAATATGAGGTGCTGCTATCATTGCTGTACTGTAATTCTAAAAATGCTGTCCTGGCATCGTTGGGATAATGTGAGAAATGAAGTCAAGATATCTAACTTTTGTTCCTATCTCTGCCACTAATCGCTGTGTGACCTTGGTTGACTCATTTCATCTCTCTGAGGCTCAGTTTCCTCTTCTGTAAAAATGAATGAGCTCACTAAGTAATTCAAATAAAACAGAGCAATTTTGTTACTATCATGTTAATTTAATATACATCTTTTAAAAATATATTTTATATATAGCAGAAGATAAATCTAATACACAATTTCCTTTTTCATTCTTCTTAGTATACCATGTTTGTGATGGTGATTATTATGTTCATAACTTAATTTTTTTTAAATGAAGGGGTTGACTCTAAGATCTTTTTTCTGGCCATAGTAAAGGAATCTTAATATAGGAAACTATTACATAGAAGTTTCAAAATATTCTATGCAAAGCCTTAAAGATGTATAACTTTGAAGCATGACACACATTTGGAGTTCTGGTCTGTCTGAATTATTATTATTATTATTATCATTGTTTTCATTAAGCCATTTTCTTACTGTATAGTAACACCATGTCTATGCTTCAGAAGGGCAATCAAACTGGGTACTAAAAGTTGTAACTGTAACTCTGGTTGTTAAAAGCTTTAGAAGAAAGCTTTTTCTGGAATGAATCAAAAATGCCTGCTACTATTTAATTATTATTATCATCGACTGTGAGGCTTTCACCCTTGTGAGAAGAAAGGAGATTGAGAAAAATCTCAGTTTGGTAGGTTATTCCTGTGTAAAGGTTTCTCTCTCTCTCTCTCTCTCTCTCTCTCTCTCTCTCTCTCTCTCTCTGTCTCTCTCTCTCTCCCTCTCCCTCTCTTTCTCTCTCTCTCTCTTTCTCTCTCTCTTCCCATCTTTTGTAACTTCCTAGGGCTGTTTAGGTTCATTTTTGATAAGTCCTCTGGCCTTTTCTTTCAGTAATTATTATGAAACACACCCAAACAAACATAAGAAAAATTCAGGTGTTAACAATGGAATATTGGATAGAGTCCTGGAAGGGTTCAGAATCTTTGGGTTATGGTGCTCACTGACTCTGTGGCTTGGGTAAATACTTCTCATCAGTGTTCCCATCTGAAAAACAGGAACAATAGCACTTGTACTATCTATGTGAGGAATATAGTCTTCAAAATGGAAATTGAGAATGCTATGACTATGAGAACTCTTATTGATCAAATCTATATCACCAAATGCATCAACTCTCCAGGAAGATCCTTTAAGAGGAAAAGGCCTACCTTGAAGCTTACTATCCCAAAACTAGGCAAAAATTATGGCTAGAATGGGCATGTTGCTTTAATGTCCCACAGACTTTTCTTCAACTTGAAATAGTTCTCCCTTTGGGGAGGGACATATTCTTCCGAAGGTTGGCACCTTTCTTTCTAAGGGAAACTGTTAATCCTTGAAAACGAAGAATGAACAACAACAGAAAATAAAAATACTATCAACTCATATTTGTGCAGCAGAAGTAATAGCATGGGATAGGCAAAAGATCAGTTAGTGGTTCTGGAGTCAGATAACCAGGATTCAAATCCATAGCTCTATTTCTTTCTGTCTATGCAATTCTGGGCAAGTGACTGAACATCTCTGGGCCTCAGTTTCCTCTTTTGCTAAATCAGGAACTTGGATGAGATGATATTTAAGTTTATTTCCACCCTAGATTCTTTGATGTTTTATTTAAACTGTATTTAACAACTACCTATTATTTATTTGCATTTATTCTTTTTATATTTATTTGGCATATTTGCATATATGTATATACATATATGTTTGTGTGTGTGTGTGTGTGTGTGTGTGTGTGTGTGTGTGTGTGTGTGTAGGGGGGAGTATTCCTCTCGTGGAAATGCAAGCTACATCAAAGTATTGTTTCATTCTTTGTATTTCTATCCCCAGGACTTAGCACACTGTGGGCACATAGTTTGTTGTGTTAAGTCATGTCCAACTCTTCATGACCCTTTTTGGGGTTTTGTTGGCAAAGATACTGGAGTGGTTTGCCATTTCCTTCTCCAGCTCATTTTACAAATGAGGAAACTGAGGCAAACAAGGTTAAGTGACTTGCCCCGGGTCACACAGCCAGTAAATGTCTGAGCTTGGATTTGAACTCGGGTCTTCCTGACTCCAAGTCCATCACACCATCTACTGCACTGCCTAGCTACTCCCAGGCACACAATAGGCATTTAATAAATGTTTGTTGATTGATTAACTGGTTGAATGATGATATAACGCTTTAGTTATAAAATACTCTATATAAATTATCTCCTTTTTATTATACCATTTTACAAATAAAGTAATTAATTGAAGCTTAAAAAAGTGAAATGAATTGACCAATATCATAATAAGCACAAAGCATAACTAATTGTGGCCTGTATTTGGTACACTCACAAAACATTTGGTGATCAGTCAATGTTGTAACCTATTAGACTAAGCATCTTGAGAGATGAATCTGGATCTTATCTTCTTTCTGTTAATGCCATGATACCTAGAACAGTACCATGAATATTATTATCATAATAGCAGAACATCTATTTTCATGAACACCTTCCCATGCTAATTCAGCTCATTTCTCACAGTACCTCCATGATGGGAGTGCAGAGAAAATGGGCAGACTTTCAGCAAGTCATTTTTCCTCCATGGTCTTCAGTTTGATGGACTGGACTAATTCATCTCTAAAGTCACATGCAGTTCCAGGGGTTTTTTTTTTCCCTGTGGTCCTTAGAGATTTCATCATACCTCATAGTAATATATAGAGGTCTTGGCCTAAAGTCACAAAATCAATTACCACCAGAGCACTATTTAGAACCCAAAACTCCAAAACCCTAATTTCCCATAGATGTGGCCAACAAAGAGGTCTCATTCTCCCAAAGTATAACCTTCTTCTGCATGAAATCTACCAGGCCAGAATCAGTTACAGGTAAGGTAAACAAAATCAAAACTAAAACAAAAAAATATAGTAAGAAGCAACAAGTTTCTGGGGTAAAATGTCAAATGGCTGTCAAATCTAGTTAAGGGGGTAGGCAAAAGGACAAATCTAGTTAAGGGGGAAAAGGTAACAGATTTAGAGTCACAGGAGCTGGGCTGGAATTCCACCTCTGCAACTTACTACCTATATGGTCCTGGACAAATCACTTTATCTCTTTGGGCCTCAATTTCTTCCTCCACAAAAAAGGGGAAGGGATACTCCACTAGCTTATTTACAAAGTTTTTTCTGCATCTAAATTTATTCTCCTATGACCTCCAGGGCAGCTAGGTGGTGAAGTAGATATAGTGCCAAGCATGGAGTCAGACAGGTCTGAGTTCAGTTCTAATCTCAGATACTTACTGGCTGTGTGACCCTAGGCAAGTCACTTACTCATGTTTGCCTCAGTTTCCTTATCTGTAAAATGAGTTGGAGAAGGAAATGGCAATCCACTCCAGTATCTTTGCCAAGAAAACCCCAAATAGGGTCACAGAGTTAGTTGGATAGGACTGAATAATAGCAAGGACAACTATGACCTCTCCTGATCTGGGTTTTCTCACCTGTAAAATGAGGAGGCTGGATAAGATGATTTCTAGAAAACTCGAAAACAGCAATGAATTTGGCATCAGAGGTTTTAGGTTTGAATTCCAAGGTTTGGTGTTCACCATCAGTGTGACCTTGGAGAAGTCATTTAACCTTCAATGTTAAAACACACATGCACACACACACACACACACACATTTTTGTTTGCATATAAAGAAAGCTGTGTTCCTTATATGTAGAATGAGAGGGTTTTTCTCTTGCGGTCATCTCCAGTTCTAAATTTATGAACCTATGATGGCTTAAACAATGTGGTCTTTTTTTTTTTTTTTTTTTTTTTCATTTAGGACAGTCTATCCTAGGTTGATGCTTAATTCTTACCTCCTCAAAAACTTTTCGGGTTTCTTTCAGATTGGGAAACACCACAGAGATAGGCAGGTCTGGCACTACAGGGTGTAGCAGGGGCTCTGCAGTGGGCACCACTCGCAACTTATGCCTTTCAGTTCCTATTCCTCCTGGCAACTCCCACAGGCTCTGCCACAGCAAGCCACTGTGGTCAGCATCGAACATACCCAGATGTGGGCGTGGAGGCTCACAGGCAACCAGCAGACCCTCCAAGGCACGCTGTATCTGCAGGCAGTCCAAGGGGTCCCACAGGATGATGCCCTTCTCCGTGCCCCCCGGTGGGCTGTTAGGGGAGTAGGAGAGCAGGCTCCGCAGTTGGCACTTCTGGAAAGGGTCCTGGCTAAGTTGATGTAGCAGGTGGTGGTACAGGCGCGCAGCGCGGATCCTTCCCCTGTGGCCAGAACCTGGGGCTATGGGCACGCACAAGGAGTAGCTGCGCCCCGGAGCAAGGAGGAACGTCTCTAGCCGGGGATCTCTGCGGGCCAAGGCGCGCCTGTCTGCGCTGTCACCGCTGTCACCGCAGAGGGTGAAATGAACCAGACCAGAGTCTGGCAGTTCCAAGACGAAGAAGCGGTCCTGGCCCAGGTCAGGCGGATACATAGCAGTGGCCTGGCGGCGGACAGCTGGCACCTGCAGCGGCCGAATCCTCTCCAAGTATTTGAGAATGAAGTCGCCCAGGCGAGGGACAAAAGCCATTATCTAGGGGCCGCTGGCCCCGCCCCGAAGGGCGAGATCAGGAGTAGGAAAGAGGAAACCGACCCAGAAACGAAACCTAGCGATGGGACTAAGGTTGGGGGGGTGGGGACGGGGGGCTGGGGGAGGAAGGCCCCAGAGCGGGCAGGGCTCGCGAAGAAACGAAAGCTCGGAGGTGGGCGGGGGCTGGGCACAGCAGGGGCCGCGCGGTCAGCGCCCAGGGACGTCTCTGGCTGCAGAAGCCTCGGGCGCCCCTTCCTTGGGACAAAGCAGTGCGAAAGGGGTACAGAGGGTGTTAAGTTTTTCCTGTTTTGTCCCTGACATGGAAACAAATGCTAAAAACAATGAAACCCAAGGAATTAGGCCTAGCTAAGTTGCCTGGAAGCCTGAGGTGGGTGGGGCTGGAGGATACAATGCCTTCTATGAATTCCCTCGGGGTGTTACTTTGAGCAACTAGGCCCACAGGTGAGATTTCTGGACCAGACTGTCTAAAAGCCTGGGCTTTGGAGCTACTCTAAGAACTCAGACTCTCTGACTCTAAAGGTTAATTTTCCTTACATTATTATCACATGGATTTAGAGTCAAAGGAAGTAAGTTCACATACTGGCTCTGCCACTTATTACTAATATGACCTTGGGCATATTATTTAATTTATCTGGTCCTCAATTTCCTCATCTCATTTACATGAAGAGGTGGACTGGATGACCTCTGAAATTTCTTCCAGCTAAAAATATATGTTCCTATAAGTTTTAGTTCTCTAGGTCTCAGTCTCCTCATCTGCAAAACAAAGGAATTAAAATAGATGGGTTCTAAGTTTCCTTCTAGGCTCTAATTTATGATGTATGATTGATAGATGTGTTCCTCCACCACCCCCATTAGATTGTAACATCCATGAGGTTAGGGACTTATGTCAGCCATTAAGGTACATTGGAAAGAGCATTAAAGTTGGGGTCTAAAGACCTAGGTTTAAGTCCTGCCTTGGTCACTGTTTACCTCTGGGCAAATTACTTAATGTGTCTGAACTTCAGTTTCCTCATCTATGAAATGGGGATAATATCTAAACTGTCTATCTGCCTCACAGGGTTCTTGTGAGGAAAGTGCTTTGCAAACCTTAAAACAATATACAAATGTAAGCAATTATTACTTATTTTTCCATTTCTTCTAGAGCCTCATTCAAGACTTTTATATGCTAGGCTCTTGAGAAATGTCTGCTGAATTAAAAGAGTTCATTAGTTAAAAGAGTTCGTTAGTTAGTGTTAGTCCATAGGCACTGACATTATCACTGTTGTTTTTCTTCTCTGTGCAATATGTGAACCAACAGGCCAAACTCATTACTCACCTTAGTTATAGAGCCTGGACCTGTGATTTGAGCACTGAGAGGTTAGATGACTTTTTCAAGGTTACACAACCAATATGTATCAGAGGCTGGGTTTGAGCCCAAGTCTTAGTAGCTTAGGTCAGCTCTTTTCCATTATACCATATTGCATCTCATTTAGAGTGTATAAGTTATCTAACAGAAGCAATGCTGAGATTTCGAGGAATGCACTTGATTATATGATAATAACAACAATACAACAATAGCAGCTATACTTATATAGCACTTCACATGTATTATGTCATTTGATCCTGACAATAACCCTGGGAGGTAGGTGTTATAAAATTATTCCTATTTTAGAGCTTAGGAAACTAAAGCAGGCTGAAGTTAAGTGACTTACCCAGAATCACGTAGCTAAAACGATAAATATGTTCTTTAGTATTATGGCTAGTGAAATAGGAGGTAACATGTTATGCTGGAAAAAGACTAGTATGGTTTAGAAGTTAAGAAATGAGTTTAGAATCCCTATTTTCTTTAAAACTGAGCTCAAATGATATTTCCTACATGAGGCCTTTCCTGATCCCTCCAGCTACTAGTATCTCCACCTCCTGCACAAAAAAAAAAAAAAAAAAATTAACCTTGTATTTATCTTACAAATATGTCTATTTATTGCTTATATTTATTTTGCACATTGTACATGTTATGACCCCTATAAAATTTAAGTTCCTTGAGGTTAAGGAGTACTTCATTTACTTCTTTGTATACCCTGGCACAATTGCTTGTCAATTGGTTGATTGTTTAATCCTGACTTTGTCAATTATTTATGTCCTTGAATTTGTTAACTTTCCTTAGTATCAGTTTCCTCCTCTATAAAATGAGGCATTTGAATTACATGATATTTAATGTCCTTTCTATCTCAAATATAATTCTATGACTGTGATATGAATAAAAATACATACTGTTCAATAATGGTACTCTAAAAAGGAGGCCCTTAACCACTTTGTTTTAACCTGATGTACAAGCCAGCCATTGCTTAGGTTTGAATCTTGGGGTGTAGAAAATTCCATACAAGGGAGGCTTACAGAGTAAATGAAGCTTATCACAAAGTAACACAAGGACAAGTGGAAAATATGAGGCAGTTGGTACATATGGCCACTGATGGCTATGGTAAGGACACACCTATGAGCTGTATAATTTATCACAGGCCCAAGATTTCTGATCCTGAGGATTCAAGACATGTATCCTCCTGTGGTCTGAGAATTTGAGTTGCTAGTCAGGAAACTACCTTGTTGCTGAATGAAGGGACTACTCTGCCCACTTGGGACCCTCATTACAACTGCTGCTCCTTGGTCTGTGCTGCCACATTCACAGCCTTCAGGTCAGTATCTCAACCCTCCAAAGTACTTACATCTTTCACTGTCTACTTCCTGGTATTCCTTCATATCCCCTGCTAGTTGATAATCACTTGTTCTTTTCTGTGCCTGTACCAACCTTTGCAGAAGATGGGAAGGGAGACTTCTGGCAAAAGTGGCAGTACCTATGTTTTCCCTTCTTAGCCCTGCAGTGTCCCAAAGTACTGACAGGAGAGAAGATTTCCTAATTACAGTTTAGCTGTTTTCAAGTATTTGAAGGGCTAACTTGGGAAAATTTTTATATCCCTTGAAGACTAAGTGGGAAATCATAATAGTAGCTTATGTAGAGCATTTTTAAAGAAAAGGAAAAGGTGGGAACTATGGAAAAAATGTTTACTGTGAAATAGAAACCTAAACAGAAAAGTGAAACTTAGATGAATTTAGTTTATTCCTAGGACAATTCAGAGGGAGGATTGCAAGATAAATGACAGTTACTGACTTGTTTGCTTATTGAACACATTCAAAAGTCAATAATTCAACTGCTGTCCTGTTCACTCTCAAGTTGGAGCATGACTGGGATGATGAGTGGCTCGCTGACCAACTTGGGTTCAAGGAAATGGTGATTTGTAGTTGTTAGCCAGTCTCCCTCTCACCCTGTGCACTCCCATTCTCAAATAGATGCTTGGAAAGAAGTGCAACTGTCCATGATAAATAGAAGTTGTCCTGGATAACATCAAATCATTCAGTGTTTCATTATTGTTCGCTTGGTACTGTGCAGGGAGCACTAGTAGTCTGGCTGCAAGGTCCAGCTTAGTGTTTATGCTAGGTGCCCATGTGAAACTTCACTTCCCCTCTTATCTCTTCTCTCCTCTTCTCCCTTGATCAAGGCCCACACTTTTGTGAGCCAATATGTCTTTTTAATAGCTGCTGTGCTTACAACTACCAGCTTCTAAACCCTTCACATCCCATATACTAACACTATAGTGACTTTGTGATGCTCTTTATGATCCCCCATGGAATTATAATCACTTGTTTCTTGACAGAAGACTAATAGAAGAAATATTCTACCAGAAAGGGAAGGTCTTGTCTCTTCCCCATCAGCCTTGCATCACTTCATGTTTCTGACACTCTTGAGTAGAGAAGATTCAGGATAAATGTGCTTTCTAAAAAATTTGAAGATAATACCATATTGATGAAGGATCAGATTTCTTCTATTTCACCCCCACAGGGCAGAACTAGGGACTTTGGAGAGACATAGGGTGGGAGAGAAGTTGCAGAGAGGTGGATTTTCATTTAATATAAACATAATTTTTCTAACCATCAGAATTACCCAAAAGTTAAATGAGCTCTCTTGGAAAGTATTGGGCTTCTTTTTTCTAAAGTATATAAAGCAAAAGATGGATGATCACTTGTCAGAGATTGGGGAGAAGGGGGGGGTAGAATTCCTAGGAATTAATCAGTTAATCAACAAGAACTTGTTATCTACTGTGTCAGGCACTGCTAGGCTGTGTTGCCTGCATAGGTAATGTGTGACCACATGGTTTATCTAGATGTGTCATACTGGGAGAAAATTAACATTCTCAGACAGAAGGTTCTGGTCTAGAATTATATCTATCTGCCTTTTCCCAAATATTGCTATTCTAGGAGGAGTGATTTTAGCTTCAAATTGTGTTTTCTGGATGCTATACTTTTAATGGAAGAAATGCCCCACTCTCTCTGTCTCTCTCTCTCTGTTTCTCTGTCTGTCTCTTCTCTCTCTCTCTCTCTGTCTTTCTCTCTATATATATATGTATATGTAATATATACACATACACATACATACATAGATATAGATATATACATACATACATATGTATACATACACATAATGTATGGGTGTGTGTGTGTGTGTGTGTGTATGCACACATACTCAAAGATTTGACTTTCCCACCAAATGCCATTTACATAACAACCATCATATCTAATGAATATAAAGTAAATATAAAAATATTATATGTTATATAATATATATAAATAATATAAAATATATAAATAAAAATATAAAACAAATATAAGGTAAACTCATTCATCCTATCCAATACAAAGACAATCAGTAATGAGAGAAGTTATATAGATTTGAACATACAAGATAATACATAGAGTGAATGAGCTATCCCACTAGGATTGAGATATCTCAGTTCAAAAGAGAGTTTCTGGTCTCACCCAAGGGGAAATTCTCTAAAGTCTATTGTGTGATAAACTGGTAATAAGAACGGTTTCCCTACATGTTGGCTTCTTCCCAGAATCTTTTACTTGCTGCAGGGACCTCTTCCTAAAGAAAACCTGAAACCTAGAGTCCTTTCTTAAAAGTAGAACCCAGAAGAACTAA